GTACCCACCAGGAATCCAGGAACACTGGGAGTTGTCAGAGAGCAGAGGGGATGCTGGGAGATCAGTCTCCTGGACTGGCTGGATGGAGCCGACACTGGTGTTCTGAGTCAGTCGGATGCCCGGCTGTCCTGGGAAGGATAGATTGAAGAGGGTCAGTGTGTGTGCGTAAGACTGACCGGCCTGAGCACCACGTCCGACCTCCTCTGGCTTGCCTGTTGCCACGAGGCAGAAGTTAGACATGCCTGCACCCTCCATCTTTCTTGTCCGATCCTGACACCAGCCGTTCCTCCCGCGGCACTCTGCATCTGTGCTGGGGTCCACAGTGCACTGCAGTGGCCATGCAGAACTCACAGACAACACTCAGTCAGGGGGCTTGGGAGGGAAAGGAACAGGTTGCCACGAGTCAGGATCAGTAAACAGTCAGGATGCAATCACTGGTCCCCAGCAGAGATTTTTCTCCATCAGTAGCCACGTCTCTCTCTGATCTTTAGCCTTTCACCTGTGTGGTCCTTCATCCTCTGCCCCTGTGAGCGAGCCTCATAGTCCCGTAGTCTCAGCACTGCCCTTCTCCTCTGTCTTGTGGTTCCCTGGCTGCTGGTCTCAGCCTCCACTGCTTCCGAGATCTCAAACATGCTCTTCTTGCATGGCCCGAGGGTGTGTCTACCTGCTCCTGCTCCTGAGATGGCTTTTAGACACAGAGGAATGGTTGTGAATGGTAGTTTTTGCCTTGCAGCAGACCACCCTCCATGGAAACAAAGGAGAGCCGCTTAGGTTGCACACTTTAGTAGAGCTACGTGTACCAAGGATACACCCCACCTTAATCTTGTAAGGCAGCATTCCCTCCAAAGTGGGATCACAGCCACAAGCAGAGGCTAGATGGGACCATGGCCATGTTCATTGTCAAAGCGGACATTACGAGATCTGCCTGGAAAGACAGTGCTATCGGGTGTATAATAATGTTTATATTTCTACAAGAAAAACCAGTTAATGCAACTACTATTCAAATGCATGCACCAACCACTAACGCCAAAGATTAAGAAGTTGGAATTTTAGATCAGCTTCTGTTGTCTGATATTGATCCAACATGCAGTCAGCTTGCATTGATAATGATGGGTGGCTGGAATGTTGAAGCTGGAAACAAAGAAGAAGGATTGGCAGCATCGATTACACAATGGAATTTTACAAGCCCGACCACCTAGTCATTGGCAATTCCTTTGTTGACTACGCACGCAGGCCGCGTCGCCAGGTGGGACATACCGGCATCACCTCAGCTCCATGGGGGAAAGGAAACAGGGCCCTGGGGTTGACAGCAGAGCAGACCACCAGTGACTCCCAGGCAAGTTCATTTTGAAGCCGGAGAACATGAAATTCACCAGAGCCAAAGGACAACCAAGAATGGCACTGACTCATGGAACGCTCATGACCCAAGAGCAGGGTCGTCGTTGGACGAGACCAAGGGCGTGAAGAAAGCAGGTCAGTAAAAAGACAGGAAAGGAAGGACTGAGGTGGTTGGAGACGAGACCCTGAAACGTGCTGCTGAGTGTGGAGAAGCCAACGCTAAAGGGGGGCTGAGGCGGCGTCCACGAGCCAACCGATCATTGC